CGTTTCCCCAGGATCTGTATGAACTGGAGCCAAGCAGATGGAGTTTGAATCCCAAGGCACTACGAAACACAAATCGTAACCCCAATAACTAGTGCTCCAGTGCTTAATCAATATTTTTGCTATAACATCTCTAAGAGAAAATATTATTTTTATTCCCATTTTACAGATGAGAATTCACAGGTACGTGGCTCAAAACTCCCGTAACAAAGCTCCTGGGGAGAAGAGACCCCAAGAGAGACACAGCGCTGTTTGTCACCATAAACACCGGAACCACCCCAGTTCGGGTTCAAGTTTAGGTATCTTGGGGAAGAGCAACGCTTGAACCTGCCGCCTAGATCAGGGAAGTGCCTACAACTCCCGTCGTGCCATGCGCACTGACGCTCCATTACGTCCACAGTGGAATCGTAGGCCTCGCTGCCTTCTGGGACATGTAGTCTCACGTGAAAAGAGGCAGGTCTGTGCGCGGTAGGATCCGGAGCCAATGAAGAAGCTGATCTTCTTGAGTGCGGGGACAAGAAGCCAATGAATGCGTGAATTAGAGAGGGAGGGGGCGGGACTTCCTGCAACCAAGTAATGGTGAGCGGCTTAGCCAAGAAAAGCACTTCCTTTTGCCGGTGGTGGCGACTGTGAGGGGATCGCTATGAAGGCCTCTGGCACGGTACGGTAGGAGCAATGGGACTAGGGGCTGGAGAACGCGGCACGGACCGCATCGGGGACGTGAGGAGATGGCGTGGGCCGAGTCGGTGCCGCGCGCTCCGGTCTGAGTGTCTTTTGGCAGTGCCCTGCGGTCCCCAATGCGGCCAATATGGCGGCCATTGCAGGCGCCTCGTGGGGAGGCCCGTGCGTGGCCTAGAGTAATCTCAGATCGCAGAGGCCTAAAGATGTGGGGTCTTCTTTCCATTGGGTGGATAAGTAGCGTAGCGTGGATGCCCATGCCACAGCAATTCGTTCAATCACCCAACCCTTAGTTTTCTCATCTGCAAAATGGACTTGTTGGGGGAATAGTAGTACTTCTTTTCCCCCTGGCATGGCTGTGAAAAGTAGATGAATATTAGGAACTGTGAGCTGAAGCGGGGAGCGTGGGGCTATCGCTGTGATATACATTAGGCAAAATTAGACAAGGTTGCGGCGCCGCGATAAGGAAAAGTAGGCGAATAAGTCTGTATACAGATTACCAGCCTCAGTTTTCTCGCTGAGAAAGAGGCCCCCATTGTCCCCTTCCTGAACGTACAGTTTCAAGACTGATAGGTTAGATTCAGAGCGGAAATTAGGAGCCAAGTCTGTGTTTTGTTTGGGCTGTTTTTCATACATATTAGTAAGAAACTGGCACATCGTTTACGGAAGTGGCTGCCTTTGCCGTGTTATGGGGCTGGGATTTGGCAGAACATTCTTAACCTTTTACAGGGAACTTTATGTGCCCCAAACCTTAGCCTGCAGCTGGGCAAACAGGCAGATAGAGTTTGCATGGCAACAGTGCAGGCAGCCCAAGGCTGGGGAAAGACCTGGAGTTTTGTCCTGGTTCTGCCTGGAGTGGGCTGAAATAGGGCACTAATAGGGCCCTCGGGGAAATAGAATGGTGGTTGGATGTTGTGAGCTGCAGAGTGGCTGTTTAACAGGGACTGCAAAGTAATTTAAGATTGCAGCAGTGGGTTTAGGCCTTAGCTTTCCTGATCTGAAGCTGTTAGCCAGGGAAAAAGGACAGGCAGGCATCTCGGTTAATACTTCATGAACTCTACCTCTGTCCTCACTTAGTGTTTTTGGATAAAGCTCAGGTCCTTACTATGACCCACAGTCACCAGGATTCCATTTGGAGGCTCTGGGACGTCACTGCTTCCTCAGTTTCTTGAATCTTGTCATCATCAGGCTTGTGAAAGGGAGTGAGTAATCTCCCCAGTTGCCCCTGGGCATTCTGTGTGCTTGCCCTAGCTCACCCCTGTTTCTTTTCAGCTTCGAGAGTATAAGGTGGTGGGGCGTTGCCTGCCTACCCCTAAGTGCCACACGCCGCCTCTCTACCGAATGCGGATCTTTGCACCTAACCATGTTGTGGCCAAGTCCCGCTTTTGGTACTTTGTGTCTCAGCTAAAGAAGATGAAGAAGTCTTCAGGGGAAATTGTTTACTGTGGGCAGGTATGAGATGCCCAAAACAAAGTGGGGTTTAGAGAGGATTCTTAGGAGGTATTATACCTCCCTACAGAAGTACTAGACAAGTCCCAGGTGACTCAAATTTGGTGGGGGGAGTCTCGAGCTCTATTGGTCTGCATGGGAGAAACTCTGGGGAATTTCCTGTATATGGCAGGTTCCCTGGAGGTTCTCGAAGGTAGGAAGTCTAGAGGGCTGAGGCACAAGAGTCTGGCCTCAGAGAAGGCAGAGGTGTGGGTTCAGCAAGGATAAAGCTGGGGTAAGACCTCCTGGCTTTGTCATCACATTCTGTGTCCTCTCCCTGGCAGGTATTTGAGAAATCCCCCCTGCGGGTGAAGAACTTCGGAATCTGGCTTCGCTATGACTCCCGCAGCGGAACCCACAACATGTACCGGGAATACCGAGACCTGACCACTGCAGGCGCTGTCACCCAGTGCTGTAAGCTGCTTGGCCCCTTCACCCACCATTAGACTTGCCCTAACTCCCTCAGACTGAGGCAGGGCAAATGCAAGAGGCTTCCAGGACAAGGGAGGCTTTTGCTTAGATGGCAGAAAGAACAGAGATCGCCCTGGGTCCCAGGTGTGCTTTTTTAGACTGAGGGAACCCAACCACATTCAGCTCTTGTTCACATCCTTCCTTTTGGGTCTGCCCATTGCGTAGACTAGACTCCCTGTCACAGCTCTGTTTTCAATAACCTACTTAGAACCCGGTTTAACCCCTATCTAGTACTGGAAGCTGGCACCAAGAATCCCCAGGTAGTTCACATTCTAGGGCTCCAAGGCCTTTGCACCTAAACCCAAGAATCACTGTTAATATAGCAGTGATTTAAACAGAGGTGCAGACAGCAAGTGGATCTCGTCGCCTTTGGAGGGCTGTGACTGTGCCCCTCAAAGTGAATGTGGAGGTTCTACATCTCCTGTGGCCAGCATCTGCTGGGACCAGAAGCTGCAGCTACCTAGCCTCCCAGCCAGCCTCAAGTTGGGGTCCCCAAGCAATTGCTGTGTCTGACAGGATATGCTGGGTCATTGGGCAGGCACTCTGGACGTTTGCCAGCACACTCCCCCTTTTTGCAGATCGGGACATGGGTGCTCGGCACCGTGCCCGGGCCCACTCAATCCAGATCATGAAGGTGGAGGAGATTGCAGCCAGCAAATGCCGGCGGCCGGCAGTCAAGCAGTTCCATGTGAGTGTCCTGTGGTTCCATTGGGTGGTCTGGGCCCAGCAGGGCTCCCTTAGAGGGAGGCTTCTGTTTTGACGCAGGAACCCTGTGGGGGAGAAGCTACGCCTCGGTGACCCCTGAAGGATAGGGTTAAGAGTCCTCCAACCCCCTCACTCATCTCTCTTTACAGGACTCCAAGATTAAGTTCCCACTGCCCCATCGGGTCCTACGTCGTCAGCACAAGCCACGCTTCACCACCAAGAGGCCCAACACCTTCTTCTAGGTGCAAGGCCCTCTCACCCATCTCTGCCCAAATAAATTCATGCCCAGGTGCTCAATGCTTGTTTTGCTTGTTTGCTCACTTTACAGAGCTCCAAGACTCTGTGAAAGGCCAGCCTGGGTCACCTGGTTGGTTCTCTTGTGTCCTAGAGAGTCTTTAGTGTAAACAAATCCCTCAGGATCCTCAAAAAGAGGTTGAGTTTCCAGGTCTAGTGGAGGGCTGTCAGGCAGCCACAGCTGTAGGCTGCACTATTGGCCTGAGGGCCCCTAAGTCTGTCCTGGCTGTCTTGTCAGTCACTAACCTCAGGAGTCAGAATTCTCCCAAAGGTGAGGTTGAGATTACCTCCCTGTCTCTTTCCTACTGGGCCTTGACCCTTTTGACTTGGAACCTAGGACTGCGATGCCTGAGATTCTCAGAGCAGACACAAGGGGGCACCCAAGAGGTACACAGCTGCCTGCAGTGGGGTTCTTTTGACCTTTTGCTGTTCTGGGCATCTTTGATACTGTCCTAATCTTGCCTGAGGAAGTCAGCTTCTTGGCATGGGTGCCTGTCTCCAGGAAACTGCTTTGGGCCTGGAAAATTCCAGGCAGGCAGCTAATCTAACCCTGGGATGTCTGCCCTAGAACTAGGTTTGATGGGGGAGTTGAAACACAGCCAAGAGTTCGGGCTTTGGGGGCCTCTTCTCCCTGGTATATGACCTTTGGCGCTTCAGTGTCTTCGTATGATCAGACTACCATGTTTACTCAGGCAGCAATACTTGGGAACAGACTGGCATGTAGATAACTGGGGGCAGGCTATTGGACCTGCCTTTGTGTCCTAGAAGCCACAGATAGGGAAACTGAGGAACATGACATCACAGATTCGCTGGGCCCAGTTTCCAGGGCCTCCCCTCTCCTGCTTGTGGTAGACCCTGGGTGGTTTCCAGAAGTCCAGGCCATGTCAAACCTTGCCTGTGGGGTGTTAGAACACCTTGAGCTAGGCCTGAAGGAAGGTGTGATGCTGTAGACACTCAGGCCATAGATGTGACTGGGGGAAATCCCTGCCCACTCTCATAGTTTTGTTATGTATGAAGTGAGGTGGCATCAGATGAGTTAGAGAGCAAGAGAAGCCAGGAGACTAGGAGGGTGGGGGCAGGCCAAGACATATTACTACCTCAGGCCTCTCCCTGTGCCAGGGAGCCAGCTGGGAGAGCTCTTCCCTGACTAGCTGAGGGATGGAGATTGATACCATTAACTGAGAGGCCCTTGAATGGAGGATGAGTAAACCCTTAACTCCCTACCCTGTATCTATTCATCCACGTTGTTCGTGAGCCTTTTATAAATTTGCCCAGAGCCCTATACCACCTAATCAGCCCACTACCAATTCCCCACCATTCTATATATCTGACCCCTTACCCATCCATCCTAGGTGAATGTCCACCATCCGTTTATCATCCATCCTTGCCAATTACTCAACCATCACAACTGTCTATGCATTTATCATGCTCTAATCTTCCATCTATTGATTTAAACCACATCAGACCATCCATCTATCCAGCTGTCTAACATCCCTGTGTTCCAGCCTCAGTAATCCTCGACTCCCTCTGTTGTGGAGGGCCTGTGTTAATTCCAGCAGAGGAGTCTGACAGGACAAACACCCTGGTCCTTATTGGGAAGGGGAGCAGCCACAAGCTTCATGCAGAGCTAGCAATGGGGTGTGCTTTTGGAAGGGAGGCCTAGTCGACTGAGCCATGACCATCAGGAAGTAATTGAGGCATGGGACCAGGAGCAAATGGGCTCTAATATGCGGTCTGGGTGGTGCTAGTGAGGCAGGTGCTGGCCAGGGAGGTCCTGGATCATGAGCTGAGGTCCGGAAAGAGGTGCAGTCCTGCTTAGGCTTACCAAGTTAGCACAAAGATGAGTGAGGGCAGGAATCCAGGAGCTCCTGCCACATCTTGTTCCTGGGTAGGGCTGTAGGCTCTGGGAGAGACACTGAGCTTTCTCTCCCTGACCCACCCTCCACCTCCAATCCCGAGTCAGGACCACTGGTGCCAGGGCTGGCAGGACAAGACAAGTGGGGAACCTAAGAGATGCCAGACCCAGATCCTGAAACCAAGAGAGACTGAGAATCATGGAATCTGAGACTCAGAATTGGGACCCTCAGTCCTTAGAATTTTTTTGGGGGGGGGACAGAGCCTCAAGCTATCCCCCTGGGCAGAGTGCTGTGGCATCACGGCTCACAGCAACTTCCAGCTCCTGGGCTCAAGTGAGTCTTCTGCCTCAGCCTCCCAAGTAGCTGGGACCACAGGCGGTCGCCACAACGCCTGGCTATTTTTTGGTTGCAGCCATCATTGTTGTTTGGCAGGGGCCCGGGCTGGAATCGTACCCGCCACCTTAGGTGTATGTGGCTGGCGCCTTAGCCACTTGAGCCACAGGTGCCAAGCCCAGTCCTTAGAATTAAGGAATTTCTTTTTATTGTTGTTGTTGAGAGTCTCACTATGTCGCCCTCGGTAGAGTGCTGTGGTGTCACAGCTCACAGCAACTTCTACCTCTTGAGCTTAAGTGATTCTCTTGCCTCAGTCTCCCAAGTAGTTGGGACTGCAGGTGCCTGCCACAACGCCCAGCTATAGAATTATGGAATCTTAACAGGCAATGATAGCAAGTAAATGGTTTGCATTTATTTGAGTGTGGAGTGCAAGTTCAAGGACAGATTCTCGATGTCCTTGAAGAGGCCTAATGGCCTGGGTCCAAATCCCACTGTGGAGATTGTCACTTCTAGTTCACAGAAGCAGATTTGGTGTCCAGAGCTAGGCAGGGCCACCCAGCTGTCATGCTGGAGTCAGAGCAGCTTGAAGCCTCTCACTCCTGACCCCTGCAATGTCTGCAGGGAGCCAAGGGCACAGTGGCGTGGGGCAGCACCCTGATGCTGCTTCAGTGCCCCTGCTCCCGGACCTTCCACTCACATTGGGCCCTTCTCAACTCGCATCCTAGGCTCCTGTCTGCCTGCCTTGGATGACAGGAATCACAGAATCTTGGGAGTGTGTGACCTGTTTCTCCCCCACTTTTTCCCCATCCCCCGCTCCCCGCCCAGGGCTCCCCACTCTGGGCCTCCTCCAAAATTCCGGAACATGTTCCAAATCCACTTCCTCTACCCAGCCAGCTTTTCAGAACCTAGAAATCTTTATCAGGCTGCTTACCTGCTCCAGATAACTATGGCTCCCCAGGGCCCTCAGAATAAAATCCACACCCCTCACTGAGGCGCTACAACCTTTCTTGTCTCTGCTCATCCCTCAGTCACTCTGCTTTGGCCACCCAGGCTTCCTGCCTCATCCTTAAACTCCTGCCTTTGCACTGGTGGTTCCCCCTGCCTAGAGCACCCTTCCACTAGCTTTCTCCATTCCTGACTTGTTCTCTGCCTGCAGGTCTCTGCTCAACTCAGGAAGATCCTCTCCCAGAGGCCCCACAGAAAGTTACCCCCAGGTTATCTCTATGTCTTACCATCCTCCTGCCTCAGCCTCGAGTAGCTGTGACTGTAGGTGCCCACCACCATGCCCGCTAATTTTTTCTTTTGTAGAGATGTGGTCTTACTATGTTGCCTGGGCTGATCACGATCTCCTGGCCTCAAGTGACCCTCCCCCCATAGGCCTACTGTTCCTTCTGAAGGGAGTATTTGTCTCCTGGTTCAGTCAAGATCCATCTAGATCTTGCTGTGTCACTGTGTCCCCAGCACCTGGCAGAGGTCCCTGCACACAGTAGGTGCTCAATGAATGGGCCTCTCTCAGATCTCTCACAGAGTCTGGACCCTCCATGGTGGAGGTATCTCTCCCAGAACCTCCCTGGAATGACAGGTGCTTTTCCATGTATTTGTGTCGATTTGCATATATCTACTGAGGAGGCCACCAGGGAGCAGCAGAAACTGGACAGAAGGACTCTTATCACTTTTTCATTCAACCTGGAGGATTCTTAGATTCCCCTGGCTTGTGGAGAAGCAAACCATGCTTGGAAATGTGTGATCACCCAGCAAGTTAGAGGTGTATGTGGGACTCAAAGTCAGAGTCCAGAACCACCAGAGGCCAAAGGCTCCCTCAGGCCAACAGAGCAGTGTCCCAAGATGACAGCTTCTGGATTCCTTGGTTGCATTATCAAAGGCAACAGACTTCACATGTCCCTGACCTTGGTGTCCTCATCTGTGCAATAGGGATACTCTGTACCCTATCTCCCAGGCTAGTAATGGTCTCCATGTATCCATGTATTCAGGTTCATGCCACTGATAACAACCCTCCCAATCTCTATTATCCATTTGTGTCTGACACAGACTCAACTCTCCTTTTTTAAATTAAATTCATTTATTTATTTTTATTTGTTGAGACAGTCTCACTTTGTCACCCTGGATAGAGTGCCATCTAATCAGAGCTCATAGCAATCTCAAACTCTTGGGCTCAACCAATCCTCTTGCCTCAGCCTCCTGAGTAGCTGGGACTACAGTTGCCTACCACAATGCCCATCTAGTTTTTCAATTTTTAGTAGAGACGGGGCCTCACTCCACTTTGGCCTCCCACAGTGCTAGGATTATAGGCATGACCTATGGTGCCCGGCCTCAGAGCCAAGTCTCAATGCATACTTTTTCCTAGGGAACCAATGAATGAATAAATGAAGAGAAAAAGGAATGAAGGAACAGATGAATGAGCTGCCAAACTTGCATTACCAGGTTCAATTTATTCCTCTGAGGCAGGGGCGCTTTTTTTTTTTTTTTTGAGACAGAGTCCCACTATGTCACCCTTGGTAGAGTGCTGTAGTGTCACAGCTCACAACAATTTCAAACTCTTGGACTTAAGCGATTCTCTTGCCTCAGCCTTCCAAGTAGCTGGGACTACAGGCACCCATTACGACAGCCAGCTATTTTTTGGTATCAGTTGTCATTGTCATTGTTGTTTGGCAGGTCCAGGCTGGAATAGAAACCACCAGCTCCAGTGTATGTGGCTGGCACCCTAGCTGCTGAGCTATAGTCACTCAGCCGAGGCAGGAGCTATTTTATCCCCATTTTAAACTGAGAGAAACTCTGGCCTATATAGAAGCAAAGCCTTCCTTAAGTATATATTTGCTCAGGACTTGAAGCCTAGATGTCTCCCACTGAGCTTAGTTAGCCCAAGAGCAGTGGTGATGCCCACCCCGTAAGGGAGAGAAATGGAGTAGGTCCAGATGCTGCTGTGAGAGGAGCTAAAGCTGGACAAGTTTTCCTAAGGGACCCTCAAAACTCCCAAAGCAAACCCCAGTTCTGTGGTTTGTGTGAGCTCCCCAAAACTCAGGGTATTCAAGCACAGGAGAGCTTTGAATGCTGAAGCAGGCTGTCTATGTGGCCTTGGAGGAGTGGCATGCATGTCCTTCTCTGAGCTTCAGTTTTCCCATCTGTCAATAGCTGATAGTGACAGCCTTGCTCAGGGGAAAGTGCCACAGGAAGCACACAGGTGTGTGGTGGAGAGCATTTGGGAGGCCTCCTCCCACCCTCCCACTCCTCTGCAGCCACCTTGTGGCCTGCACTGCCTATCCCAGTCCAGGGAAGAAAGGGTGCTGCTCCTGCCCGCCCCACCCCCATCTAGGGGCGGAGCAACTGTGACCCCGAGCCCAATAAATCTGCAGCCCACACCCACAAGCTGCACCTTTAAGCCCCACTGCCACCTCCAGTTGTCAGCGCTTAGCTACAGCTCCCAGGGCTAGGGACAGACTACCAGGGTACAACGGGCATTGGACCCTAAGTGAGAGGGGAGGTGAACGTACAGATAGGCAGAGGAGGACGCAGAGACCAAGAGGAGGGACCGGAGGACAGTGACAGCAAGGACCCACAGATCCCTTGCCCAGGGAACCCTGGCCCCTCTCACTATCTCCCATCCCAGACCGAGGGGGAGAAGCAGGTATCCTCCCGTAGTGGCCACGCATCCTCCCACTGCCCTCGCTGTCCCGCCTCCTCTGTCTCTGTCAGGTCCTCTGGCTTGGGCACGTGGGGCGCCAGGACGCAAGGACGCGCTAGGCCACAGCACCTGTGTTCATGGAGGCCGTCGAGGCAGGTGCACGGGCCACATTCGGAGTCTGGGACTACGTGGTCTTCGCGCTCATGCTGCTAGTGTCCACTGGCATCGGACTGTGGGTCGGGTTGGCTCGCGGTGGGCAGCGCAGCGCTGAGGACTTCTTCACCGGGGGCCGGCGCCTGGCAGCTCTGCCGGTGGGCCTCTCGCTGGCCGCCAGCTTCATGTCGGCGGTGCAGGTGCTGGGCGTGCCGGCCGAGGCCTACCGTTATGGCCTTAAGTTCCTCTGGATGTGCCTGGGCCAGGCGCTCAATTCCTTGCTAACTGCCACGATCTTCCTGCCGGTCTTTTACCGCCTGGGCCTCACCAGCACCTACGAGGTACGGGGGCAGGGCCTGTCTGACCTGCTGTGTGACCTGACGTGGGAGGCCCTCAGGCTTTGAACGGCTGCCACAAGGGGGAACAGACTGCTCCTTAGTACCTTAATGGGGGAGCTCCCAGGCAAACAGGTGGGGAAGGTTCTGGGAAGAGGCCCCAGGCAGTGGGGCAGGAAGGAGGAAGAGAGATGCCAGTGTCCTGGTTCTCCCGTGGAAGCGTGTGGGGGAAGGGGCCAGGTGGGTACTCACTCGTGGACAGTCACACCCCTGCTTCCCCACATGCCCAGGCCTGCGCACCCACGTGTGGTCACCAGAGGGGATCGCACGAGTGCACAGGTGTGTGCGCGTGGCAGGGTCCCCAAGTGCAAGAGTGCAGCGAGTGCAGGCGGGAGGACAGCAGCTAAGAGTGCAAGCAAGGGACCCCAGAGGCCTCGGTCCCAGGGTAGGGCCTGTCTGGATGACCACAAGCCCTCGGCTCCTTGTTGCAGTACCTCGAGCTGCGCTTCAGCCGCGCTGTGAGGCTGTGCGGGACCGTGCAGTACCTAGTGGCCACGGTGAGTGGACTCTGCCTTGCGGTCACATGCCTGGCCTTCTTTGGCCCCGCCCACGTGCCCGCCTAGGTCCTTCAGGCTCCCCCCCACCCCATCCAAGGCGAACCTGCCCAGGTCCAGCTCCCACTAGTGTTCTAGTTCCGTCCTCTCCCTCCCACACACCTTCCCGACCTGACCCCGCCCCCACGGCAAGACTGGGCCTACGTGCCCCACCCACCTGCCGGGACCACCCTTCTCTAACCCTTCGGGGATCCCCACCCCTCCCTGCCTCACTGGTCACCCGCCCTCTACCTACAGACGCTGTACACCGGCATCGTGATCTATGCCCCCGCACTCATCCTGAATCAAGGTTTGACCCTAGGAAACCAGGGGACGTAGCCGGGAGGAGGCAGAAACTGAACTGGAGGAGAAGGGGAGAGCGAGGAAGGTCTAGGAGACCATGGAGACTAAGTTTGCGTCCATCCCAGAGTTCTAATGGGGGTGTCATTTTGCACAGTGACGGGACTGGATATCTGGGCGTCCCTCCTATCCACTGGAATTATCTGCACCTTCTACACGGCTGTGGTGAGTGGCCTCAAGGACCCACTTCACGCAGGGGCTGCATGCCCAGTGGGTCTCTTGTGGAGGAATTCTGGGCCAGCCATTTCACTCTCTATTTTCCTGAGTAAGCCCCTATTCCAGGTGGGACTCAGTTTCCTCATCTTTATAGGCTTCCACCGCTTCTGGCTCCCTGCCCCTGTTTCAGGGCTCCCCTTTCAGTATTAGCCTCACTAAAGTTCTGTGGGGAGGGATTGTCCATTTTGCTGGTTAAGGTTCACAGCATCTTAAGGGCTGAGATGCTTCGTTTCGCTATTTCTGGAGTGACTACCAGTGTGGTCAGTCTCACCTGAATGGTGTGAGAGAGAATAAAGGATTTCTCCAAAGAAATATCCAGGGGCTGTCATGGGAAGGCAAAGATGTGGAGGCCGGGTGGGTAAAAACAACTGATAATAGTAGTTGTAGTGATAATAATACATGTAGTGATAGTAGTAATCACTCACTGAGCATTGTATGTGCCAGGTGATGTTCCAAATCTTTTTCACTTATTAAATTATTTAATTCTTATAACACTACCACAAGAAGGTATGATTATTAACCCAATTTTACAGATGAGGAAACCAAGGCAGAGAAGGGTGTTGGTCTCAGCCACAGGTAGAGGCCAGGCTGGGTTAGTCACAGCCAGGTCCCCTCTGTGACTCCCCCACCTACTTCTGTCCCATCTTTTAGGGTGGCATGAAGGCCGTGGTTTGGACTGATGTGTTCCAGGTCATAGTGATGCTGTCTGGCTTCTGGGTTATCCTGGGCCGTGGTGCCACGCTCGTGGGTGGGCCCCAGCATGTGCTCCAGTTTGCCCAGAACCACTCCCGGATCAACCTGATGGAGTGAGTGAAAGTGTAGAGGAGATACTGTAAAAGAATGGAGCTGGCTTCCCTTTGGGCCCTGGAGAAGCCAGTCAGTGCCTCCTGCTCCTCTTCCCAACCTCTCCTGGCTTCCTTTCTCTGCACTTCCCTTAGACTCCCCTAGTCACCATCCCTCTATCTGGCCCAAGTCTGACCCTCATCACAGACTGGGGACTGAAGCCTCTCTGAGGTCCCAGCTGGGAAAAAGAAAGAATGACTTTTGAATTCATACATAGATGACACAGTGAAAACATAAGTGAATTTTCAATGTGGTAAATTCCTATACATACTTCAAAACCCACTCCAAATGTCCCCTTAAGGCCCATATGGTATAGAATGGCTATCTGGGACCCTTGGGAGAAAAAAGTCAAAGTGACATCTCCAAATGGCTGACTCGCCCTATTTCCACCCAGCTTTGACCCTGACCCACGGAGACGCTATACATTCTGGACATTTGTGGTAGGCGGAACTTTGGTTTGGCTCTCAATGTATGGTGTGAACCAAGCACAGGTGCAGCGCTATGTGGCCTGCCGCACAGAGGGGCAGGCCAAGCTGTGAGTGTTTCGGAGGCAAGGTATGGGCTTCTGGGACATGTTGCCCCACCCCATTCTGAAGTTGTCCCCCCAAGCCTGAGGCCACCCCTCCCCCCAGGGCCCTGCTCATCAACCAGATGGGCCTGTTCCTGATCGTGTCCAGCGCTGCTGTTTGTGGCATTGTCATGTTCGTGTTCTACAGTGACTGTGACCCTCTCCTCACAGGGCGCATCTCTGCCCCAGATGAGGTGAGTCCCACCTAGGCTCCCGGTACTCACACCCTAACCTCTGAGGATGGGAGCAGAAGAGCATTCCTAGAAGAGGGATCAGTCTGTGCAAAGGTCCAGAGGCAGAAAAGAGTCCAGAGGAGGATCTGGGAGGAGTGGGGAAGATAAGTCTGAAGGCAATGGGGAGCCATAGGTAAGTGTGAGCAGGAGGGCATGTTCAGAACTAGAGGCCCCATGGGGGATATCAGAGAGGAGATGGAACCATGGTCCAGTAAGAAATGATGATGTTGATAATAATGGTAATGATCCATGTCCCAAGTGCCTTCTCTGTGCTTCATGCTGTTCCCTTCACAAGCAGTGAGTTTTCCCATCAAATCCTCCAAAGTGCACTGAAGCCAACGCTATCATGGTTCCCACTTTACAAATGAGGAAACTGAAGCTTAGGGAAGAAGCAGCTGCCTGAGATCAGCAGGAAAGTCAGGGGCAGTGCGGGTGCCAGGACCCACACTCAGGTCGAATCCCAGCTGGTGTTCTGACCAGGGGGTTCAGAGTCAGCAAAGGCTTTGAGGTGTCATCCCACCTGCTGTCCTCCACTGGGGTCAGATCTGGAATTGCCTGACTATAACCTCAGGTAGGGACTTTACCTCCCCACCTCACAGTTCTCATCTGTAAGGTAGGGATGAGGTGGAGTCCTCCCTCACTGAATCCTAGGGCTCAGTGACAATCCTCAGGTCCATGCAGTGGATCAACAAATGCACATTCAGTGCCCACCGTGAGCCCTGTCTGTGCTGGGCGCTGGGGACATTCGGGGGTAGCACAAGCAGAAGCCCCTGCCTTCAGGGAGCTGCTGTCCTGGAAGCTGACCTCCACCTCCCCCCAGTACATGCCCCTGCTGGTGCTGGACATTTTTGACGACCTGCCTGGCGTCCCTGGGCTTTTCCTGGCCTGTGCCTATAGTGGCACTCTCAGGTAAGCATCTTACTCACCTAGCCTTGTCAGAACTCCTCAGGGCTTTCTCAGGCCCTACTGGCCATCCCCTTGAGCACCGGAATGCCCCTCATTCACAGTCCCTACTCAGTTCCTAGCAGGCACTTTGTGTGGGCTCTAGCAGAAAGCACACACTGGGCACAGGGACCCCAGCTGTGGAGTTTTTACCTGGCACAACTACACCTGACTCTCCTCTCATCCTCCCTAAAACAAATGTTTATTGAGTGTCTATCATGGGGCAGGTAAGACTGTCCTAAATCCTGGGCACAGCCGTGACCAAGTGGTCCCTACTGCTCTCTGGGGGTTTCAGGTCTTCTGGGACTTCTGGTCACATGTCCTCACTCTTGCTATGACTTAAGTCCCATGCAGCTCGTTCCTCTATATCCAGAACTTGCCTGTCTTGGCTGTCCTGGATCACAGGTGTCCTTAGTCTAGTGGGGTGTCTCAGGTCTACACAGCAGGGAGGGGGTGGACATCTTCTCCACTCCTTGGGGACTTGATGACCACTACCTCTGCCTTGGGGTGGGGTCCCAGCAGGCCCAAGGTGTGGGCAGCTGGGGGTCTGCCCACCAGGTGGACCCTAGAAGGGGTATAGCAGTCTCTGTGTGTGACCTGAAGACCCTTCCCCTGCCTCTCCCCCGTCCAGCACAGCATCCACAAGCATCAACGCCATGGCTGCGGTCACTGTAGAAGACCTCATCAAGCCGCGGCTGCCAAATCTGGCGCCTAGGAAACTTGTGATTATCTCCAAGGGGCTTTGTAAGTTGAAGGGAGACCTGGGTGGGGGCCCAGAGCAACCTGTCCCTGTTGACCTTGCCACCTCCATCTGCTACAGCAATCATCTATGGATCGGCCTGTCTCACGGTGGCAGCTTTGTCCTCCTTGCTGGGAGGTGGTGTCCTCCAGGTGAGCCTCTAGCCCCCTTCTGCCTGTGTGTCCCCAAGAGGAGAATTTTCACTGAACTAAGCCTCAGAGAGGATCACACATGTCGATGGCAGAACTGGCTTCTCTCTGATTCCTGAGGCTGAGTATTTCCTGCAACCAGCAGGCCTGGGACAGCTGAGGGGGAGGTGTAGGCAGCGGCCTAGGGGCAGAAAGGGCCTCCCCAGCTTGGGGGTGGGACCACAACTGTCAAGAGAGAGAATCAGCATCTTTACCTCCCACCCAGGAGAGAGAGGCAGGAACAGGGAGTTCTCTCCCCTTCCTTCCTGCCGATTCAAGCCTGTAGTGCAATTCTTCAGTTCTTGCTTTCCCAGCGGGTAAACTGCCCTCAGCCCCACTCCCATGACTCTCCCAGGGCTCCTTCACCGTCATGGGAGTCATCAGCGGCCCCCTCCTCGGCGCCTTCGTCCTGGGAATGTTTATGCCTGCCTGCAACACACCGGTGAGCTGGGCGGGCAGTGTGGGGAGCGAGGTGGGCGGCCCTGACCGGCCCCCTCCCCTGACCTAGGCTCGGTCCCCAGGGTGTCCTCTCTGGGCTGGGCGCGGGTGTGGCGCTCTCACTGTGGGTAGCCTTGGGTGCCACGCTGTACCCGCCCAGCGCACAGACTATGGGGGTCTTGCCGTCATCGGCTGTCCGCTGCGTGGCCCCCTCAGCCAATGCCTCTGGCCTCCTGGACCCGCTCCTCCTTGCTGCCAACGCCTCCAATAGGTGAGAAGGCCGGTGGGGGAGAGGCGTGCCCTGAAAGGGTGTGGTCAGGGCGGGAACCTTACCCTGAGCTCTGAATCAGTAGGAGCCTAGCTAGTAAGGAACGTTCTCTGCTGAGGAAAGGGTACATAAGTGCAAAGGCCCTAAGGCCAGATTCGGCTTAGAATGATCCAGCTCCTCTGAGGTTGGGGCTGAGAAGGGAAGGAGAAGTGGCGAAGCGAGAAGAATTTAGATTTTTTAAAAGATATAATTTGCATACCATAAAATTAACTATTTAAAGAATTCTTTTAGGCTGGACACAATGGCTCATGCCTGTAATCCCAGCACTCTGGGAGGCCAAGGAGGGAGGATGCTTGAGGCCAGGATTCAGGACCAGCCCGGACAATAGCAAGACCTTGTCCCTACAAAAAAACAAAAAAATTAGCCGGGCATGGGGGCAGGCACCCGTAGTCTCAAGCTACTGGAGCATGAGGATTGCTTGAGCCAGGGAGTTGGAGGCTGCAGTGAGTTGTGATGACACCACTGCACTCTATCCTGGGCCACAGAGTGAAACTGTCTCAAAAAAGAAAATAAAACATATAAAAGTGGCTTTTAGCATAGTCACAAGATTTATACAACCATCACCAACCATTATAACTCAACCTTTTTATCAATCTGAAAAGAAGTCCCATCTCATTGGCACTCATTCCCCATTTCCTCCCTCTCCCCAGCTCCTGGTAACTACTAAATCCACTTTCTGTCCCTATGGATTTGCCTATTCTGGGCATTTCTTTTAAATGGAATCATGTAATATGCAGCCTTTTTTGTCTTCAAGGATTATTATGTAATAATAATAGCCTTTTTTGTCTTCAAGGATTATTATGTAATATGCAGCCTTTTTTCTTCAAGGATTATTATCCATGTTGTAGCAAATATGAGTGTTTCATTCCTTTTTACGGCTAAATTATGTTCCATTGTATGGATGGAACACATTTTGTATATCCATTCATCAGCTAATACACATTTAGTTATTTCCAGTTTGGGGCTATTGTGAATAGTGCCATTATAAACATTTTGAGTACAGTTTTTGGTGTGGACATGTTTTAATTTCATTTGGTATATGCCTAGGGAAGTGGAATTGCTAAGTCATATGATAATTCTATGTTTAACTTTTTGAGAAAACATCAGACTGTTTTGCACAATGGCTGCATCATTTCACATTTCCACCAGCAATGTATAAGGGTTCCAACTTCTCCACACCTCCATGCTAGTGGGTGTGAAGTGCTATCTCATTGTACTTTGGATTTTTATTTCCCTGATGACTAATGTCATCAAAAATATCATGTGTTATTGACCATTATCATATCTTTTTTGAAGAAATGTCTATTTCTATTTTTTAAGTGGGCCATTTGGAGTTTTTTTAGATCAATTTTTACTTTTTTTCTTTCTCCACTACAGGTAAAGATAGGAATGGGTCATTTCTCTTTTTATTATTGAGTACTCATTTACATATTTTTATATTTGTATATATTCTGGAGATCAGACCTCTTTCAGCTATATGACTTATAGATATTTTTTCCCATTTCATGGGTTGTCTTTTCATTCTGTTGATAATGTCCTTTGATGCACAAAAGTTTTTAGTTTTGAAGTCCAGTTTGTCTACTTTTTTTTTTTTTTTTTGGTTATTTGTGCATTTGGTGTCTTATCTAAGAAACTATTCCCTAATCCATGGTCATGAATTGGGTGATAATTTTTATTTATTTATTTTAGAGACAAAGTCTCACTTTATTGCCCTTGGTAGAGTGCCATGACGTTACAGCTCACAGCAACCTCCAGCTCTTGGGTTTAGGTAATTCTCTTGCCTCAGCCTCCCGAGTAGCTGGGACTACAGGCGCCCACCAGAATGCCTGGCTATTTTCTGTTGCAGTTTGGCCGGGGCTGGGTTCAAACCTGCCACCCTTGGTATATGGGGCTGGCGCCCTACCCACTGAGACACAGGCACCGCCCTGGGTGATAATTTATTTTACACCTGTGATTTTTTTCTGGGAGTTTAATCTGGTTTGATTCTGAGGGCAATAGGGAGTTACAGAAGGTGATAGGCAGTGGCCAGAATTACATTTTAATAATACTTCCTCTGGCTGTGTGTGGAGAATGCCTGGGGCTGGGAGTTGAAATAGTAGGAGGAAAGGAGAACTGGCTACTACACATGTTGGGGTATGCAATAATTGGGGGCTGGGCTAGGCCATGATGAGAGTGGCTTTTGAACATAGGCAGGGGGTTAAGGAGAAAGTCTATCTCATGCCCCCCCTCCTACCCCCAGCTCAAGAATGGATCTCAGCCAACCTGCCTTAGCTGAGAGTTTCTATGCAATCTCCTACCTCTATTATGGTGCCCTAGGCACTTTGACTACCTTGCTGTGTGGTGCCCTTGTCAGCTGCCTGACAGGTAAGCAGAGCGCATGACTTCTTCAGTGGCTACCCAATCCACCTCTGCCTCAAGGAGCCACCACACAGAGAGGGGAGGAAGGACACTCCCAACAGCCACATGGCCACTGTATGTCAGACACATTTGCACCCTTTAAGCAGCATCCCCTTCACAACAACCCTGCACCTCACAGAGCTTGCCCTATTTTGCAGAAGCAGAAACCGAGCACAGCCCCTCCACTCCTCTTCCCTAGAAAATTCAGTCATCACTAGAGGATGTGGGGTGCAGCAGTGAGGCACTATCCCTGGTGCTGAAATATCTTCTCAGGGATATGGCAACTCTGTGCCCCTCCAGGAATTCTGAATCCTATGGAAAAGTGGAAAGAGACAAAGATAAATCAGTATAATGAGACCTTCTTGAGTCTCAGATTTGGGGCTCAACAAGTCTTTACTGAGACCTCCTCCAGGCCAGGTGCTATTAGGTTACATAATATTGAGTGAAACCACATGCTGGCTGGGGCCATCACTGGTGTTTTACCACAATTCCTCACTGTCACCCAGTGAGTTGCTATTGGAGGTGGGATTGTAACCATCAAACTCCCCAGCCCAGGGCTCTTCTTTCTCCTCCCAGGGCCAAGTGTCCAACTCATATGACCCTTTCACTAAATGTCCCCCTTTTTTCCTGCTTCTCAGGCCCCACCAAACGCAGTGACCTGGGCCCTGGCTTGTTGTGGTGGGACCTTGTACGGCAGACGGCATCAGTGGCCCCTAAGGAGGAAGTGGCAGTCCTGGATGACAGCTTAGTAAAGGTCAGTCTCAGGCTAAGAAGCAGCAAGGTGGCGTTGGGGGCATGGCCATGACTCAGGAAGGACATGATGTATCACTGTTTTTCCCAATCTCTCATAATCTCCAGTGGAAAGGCTCCCTTTGGAGATGATTCATCTTCAATCAGTTTTTATTATCCTCTTTCAAAAAGACTGAGCTACTCACATTTGTGGTATCTGTTTTTACAGTTACTTCCAATGTGTGGCAGGTGAAACTGGTTTGCCATTAGAATATTGATGTCCAGTTTCTTCCGAAAATAAAATTACTTAATTTAAAAGTGACTCAACTTAGAGTAAATCTTACATAAGAAACATAGCAGAGGGTAGACTGATTTCAGCCAAAACTCCAATTTTGGTTGCTTGTGTGAATTCCCAGGGTTTGGAAAACACCGTCCCTGGGGGACTGATTCCAGG